CTTCCCCTGCAGTGACTGTCCTTACAACAGATGTCTTCCATTTCTTCTTAATCCTTCACCATCTTCACTGACTTGCACAACTCAGTATACCCTATAAACCCTATAGTCTGTAAGATACAAGACCAGTTGTTTTATCTGTCTACATGGCAGAAACGTTTTACTGGATACCCAGCCATATTGGGATCCTAGGCAATAAACAAGCAGATGCCTTGGCACAATTTACAAAACTTTTCTCCATAATCGTCTGCAGTCTTTCTGGTTAGGTTTGACCAACAATAAACTTCAAATGATAAACCCTTCCATTTCCCCTCTTTAATGTCTTTTCTTTCCAGAATCTGCTTTGCATACAAAAAGTGAAGGAAACTGCTTTCATATATAATATATAGAAGAGTGTAAGGTGCTGGGAAACTGACCTTGCTATTTTTATTTTTTAGATTACATCCAACTCATGCACTCATACCCCTTTTCAGTCCCACATATCCTACTACCCTGAAGCCCGTACCCTCACTTTTCCTTACTTGTCCTCTCTTCCCTGATCCCCAACATGTTCACAGAATCCCTTACCTTTTCAATTAACAGCTGTCCTCTTTCCTCAGACACATAAAAATACCCTCCATTTGATCTAATCGCTCTTTGTCCTTAACCCTTCCTCTTCTATCAATCCCTATCCTACTATTTACTCCCCCTTCTTTCTACTTCTTTCACTTCCATTCTATCTCATTATACCACATGACTGGTGAAATCTAAGACATTTTGTTCCAAAAAAGATCTTTAAATCCCTCCCACAACAATACTTTACCATAGTGTTTATATGACCTTTGATCTAACACATTTATTTGTTTAAAACATTAAACATTAAACATTAAACAGTCTCCTCACCCACCCAGATTTAATCATTCACTCAGTATCCCCTTTCTTTAATGTCTAGTACATATATTTGCTTTTTAAACATTAACCACTATCCATAAAAAGATTAATAAGTAGTATACAGAAATATTGTAAACAAAGGTTTATGGCATGAAAACTGAATAGTGATTCTTAACAACTGTGCACATGAGTGGGCATACCATCAGGTACTAGAGGACATCACATGCAGGAAACTATTTAGCAAACAAGCAGCTCTCCTAATCTATATGACTGAACAGATGGTTTCACAAGTGCTCAGTCTCTAATTAATCAATTTGCAAGCCTATGATTCCTGACTGCTCCTGGTTAACATTTTTCTAATGCTTTTATTAATATAACTGACAATATGTAATGTTATCAACAATAGTAAAATAAAAGATTTTTTTCCAGATATCAAGGAAGAGAGTTAACAGGTGAGATAAGAAGGATCAGTAACTGACTCCTTCATGACTAAGTATTTGTAGAGCATCTGTGTCTAAACACAAGAAACTGAACTCTTCGTGTGTGTTGGATGTACATACATGCCATCCCCATTAGCACTGGGTAAAAGTGTACACGAGGCAACTTATCGTTTGATGTACCATGTCTTATAAGAAATATTTTAATCAATATCCTAATAATCTTTAAGAGATGAGATCACAATGCACACTGAATTCCAACCAAAGCACATGTTGCCTGGCATAGAAATTCAAGCAGAGCCAATTATTAATCTACAATATTTAGATCTTCATGGTGTTTTACAGTGCCACCAAGTATAAAATATTTCATATTTTCTTTACATGCCCATTTTATGCAGATGAACTTTATTAATTTCACATATTTTTATCATGTGTCACTACTAACTCCTTGAGCATTTAAATAAGAGGATCTGTTGGTAACATTGAGGATATGAAACAAAATTTCTTTGGTATATTTCTATTATCATTTTTATTACACACACTTAAGGGTTCCAAAGCAGCCTTGGTAAGCAATATCTGCTTAAAAAGAACATACTGTATTTGAATGCAGCTACAAGACGGATGTTGGAGTACTCTTGAATATGATGTCATTTTTTAATTTTTTTTATCTGAGGGAAGGTATGACTACATTTTACAAATATTAATATATTACTGTTGGACAGAAGCAAAAACCAGCTGCGATGAAAATGCAAGACTGTACTCTCTTGTGTACACATGTAAAAAGCTTAAGACTTTCCTTTTAGCATGTCCCTTCCCTTTTCTTTCCAGAATCTGCTTTGCATACAAAAAGTGAAGGAAACTGCTTTCATATATAATATATAGAAGAGTGTAAGGTGCTGGGAAACTGACCTTGCTATTTTTATTTTTTAGATTACATCCAACTCATGTATTCATACCCCTTTTCAGTCCCACATATCCTACTACCCTGAAGCCCGTACCCTCACTTTTCCTTACTTGTCCTCTCTTCCCTGATCCCCAACATGTTCACAGAATCCCTTACCTTTTCAATTAACAGCTGTCCTCTTTCCTCAGACACATAAAAATACCCTCCATTTGATCTAATCGCTCTTTGTCCTTAACCCTTCCTCTTCTATCAATCCCTATCCTACTCCATTTACTCCCCCTTCTTTCTACTTCTTTCAATTCCATTCTATCTCATAATGCCACATGACTGGTGAAATCTAAGACATTTTGTTCTAAAAAAGATCTTTAAATCCCTCCCACAACAATACTTTACCATAGTGTTTATATGACCTTTGATCTAACACATTTATTTGTTTAAAACATTAAACATTAAACAGTCTCCTTACCCACCCAGATTTAATCATTCACTCATTATCCCCTTTCTTTAATGTCTAGCACATATATTTGCTTTTTAAACATTGACCACTATCCATAAAAAGATTAATAAGTAGTTTACAGAAATGTTGTAAACAAAGGTTTATGGCATGAAAACTGAATAGTGATTCTTAACAACTGTGCACATGAGTGGGCATACCATCAGGTACTAGAGGACATCACATGCCGGAAACTATTTAGCAAACAAGCAGCTCTCCTAATCCATATGACTGAACAGATGGTTTCACAAGTGCTCAGTCTCTAATTAATCAGTTTGCAAGCCTATGATTCCTGACTGCTCCTGGTTAACAACATTTTTCTAATGTATAACTTTTATTAGTATAACTGACATTATGTAATATTATCAACAATAGTAAAAGAAGATTTTTTTCCAGATATCAAGGAAGAGAGTTAACAGGTGAAATAGGAAGGATCAGTAACTGACTCCTTCATGACTAAGTATTTGTAGAGCACCTGTGTCCAAGCACAAGAAACTGATCTCTTAGTGTGTGTTGGATGTACATACATGCCATCCCCATTAGCACGGGGTAAAAGTGTACACGAGGCAACTTATTGTTTGATGTACCATGTCTTTTAAGAAATATTTTAATCGATATCCTAATAATCTTTAAGAGATGAGATCACAATGCGCACTGAATTCCAACCAAAGCACATGTTGCCTGACCTAGAAATTCAAGCAGAGCCAATTATTAATTTACAATATTTAGATCTTCATGGTGTTTTACAGTGCCACCAAGTATAAAATATTTCATATTTTCTTTACATGCCCATTTTATGCAGATGAACTTTATTAATTTCACATATTTTTATCATGTGTCACTACTAACTCTTTGAGCATTTAAATAAGAGGATCTGTTGGTAACATTGAGGATATGAAACAAAATTTCTTTGGTATATTTCTATTATCATTTTTATTACACACACTTAAGGGTTCCAAAGCAGCCTTGGTAAGCAATATCTGCTTAAAAAGAACATACTGTATTTGAATGCAGCTACAAGACGGATGTTGGAGTACTCTTGAATATGATGTCATTTTTTAATTTTTTTTTATCTGAGGGAAGGTATGACTACATTTTACAAATATTAATATATTACTGTTGGACAGAAGCAAAAACCAGCTGCGATGAAAATGCAAGACTGTACTCTCTTGTGTACACATGTAAAAAGCTTAAGACTTTCCTTTTAGCATGTCCCTTCCCTTTTCTTTCCAGAATCTGCTTTGCATACAAAAAGTGAAGGAAACTGCTTTCATATATAATATATAGAAGAGTGTAAGGAAAATAAATTTGTGCCATTTTCAATGCAAAAATAGCTGGTATGATTCAAAGCAACTCATTTTAATAATAATAATAAAAAAAGTAAAAAAATTAAATAAGCAAATTCACAACATTAGTTTCAATGGCATGCAAGCTAGCCTCGACAATTTGGCACTCGATAATAGTGCAATAAGTGTATTTTTTCAATTCTTTGCCTTCCAGTCAAAAGTTTACTCATAATTCCTTCAATATGAAAAAGAAAGAAGGAAAGAAGGAAAAAAGAAAGATAGAAAAAGAAGAAGGAAAGAAAAAGGAAAGAAAAAGAAAGAGAGGAGAGAGACAGACAAAGGAAGGAAAGAGAGAAGGAAAAGAGAAAAGAAAAAGAAAGAAAGAAAGAAAAAGAAAGAAAGAAAGAAAGAAAAAAAAAAAAAAAAAAAAAAAAAAATCACCGGTAATCTTACATGTACCTTATCTATGTACTGTTATAAATACTTAACTGATATTGGCTTTCTTACCATAGTTCACCACTGACTTTCATCATGTTACAAAATCAGAATACGCCTGTCTTCCATTGTGGTATTTTCGCTGGTTAAGCTCATACAAAACAACATATCAATAGTAACAATAGTGCAATCATGCACTATTCCCATACACAAACAAATTATTGATGTGATCATCAAAAACACACTTTTTCTTCATTTGATACAAATTATCAATGGTGGTGATATTGACAGAAGAGGGTGGGGGGGTGAGGTGGGGGGGTGAAAAAATAAAATAAATAAAAAATAAACAGGGGAGGGAGGCCATTCCTTTTTAGACATTTTCTTTGTCTAAAATTACTTGGGGCCCAATGGAGAAAAATAAGACAAAATAAGAAGAAAAAAAATGAACAAAAAATGCTTCTCTCTTTTTTTTTTGATGACTACAGGAAGACATTTTGTTCATGGTTCAGTGTCTTTGACAAAAAGCTTTCAAAAGAAATCTGGGAGAATCAACGGTATTACTCAGATTAAATCCTAATTTGTTCATCTGTTGCTGAATATGCTTTTTTTAAATAGATACATGCTAGGATACACATTCACATTTTTCCGATAGAGATCAGCCAATGGTGAAAACTTTTTATCAACGGTCCTTAAATGAAGTCTTAGAAGTGTTACCCTAGTACCTATTACCTCCTCTTCCCCCCCTCCCTCGGCCCCTGCCTCTGTTGTCGTAACCTCTATTGTCATAGCCACCGTGGCCGCCACCTCGGTAGCCACCACCGCCACGATTGTCATAGCTACCCCGATTATCATAACCTCCGCCACCTCCCCTGTTATCATAGCCACCACCTCCTCCCCTGTTATCATATCCTCCTCCACCTCCCCTGTTGTCATAGCCCCCGCCGCCCCCTCGGTTGTCGTAGCCGCCTCCGCCGCGGTTGTATCCTCCGCCCTGGTTCCAGCCGCCCTGGACCCGGTCGCCTCCCGAGGAGAAGCCGCTTCCGCCTCCTCCGCCGCCACCTCGCCCTCCGCGGCCGCCTCCTCGTCCTCCGTAGCCACCTTCAAAAAAGAGAAAATAATGTATTACTAGAATTCAAGCGTGTCAATATTGAATTCATTTGCAATGTATTTAGATACACTGAAGCAAGACATTTTTTTTAGTATTCACAGAGTAATATAAAAGGAGGCTTTTTACACTGTTAACATATATTAACAAGGAGACGGAACTGCACACCAGTCAGAATCCTGCAAATACCAAACTTGCAACTTGTATCACAGGAAGGTTATATTCATGCTCAAGAAAGGCTCTTAGAAACCTAAACAAAAAATTGTAAAACACAAATTGGTAAAACTTAGGGTACAAAACTTCACTCAATTAACACTAATGTTAAGACACAATATCGTAACTCATCCAACTCAAGGAAATGAACCAAAACTTCAAATTCCTTTATGACGTACACATCAAATACAAGGATAATCAATAACTGGGTTCTATCAGTTGAGCAAAAAATACACACACGAATCCATTTTCTACATGTAAATGCATATTAGATTCTCCATAAAACAAAACTTGTTAATTATAATAGCAAAAGTGAGAATGTGATGTAGTTGGTCTCACGAACCTCTCTTTGATTCTTGAGGACCTGCCTCTGTCAGGGAACAAACAAGATAAAAACTTAAAGAGAGAAACGGAGAAAGAAAGAAATGGAAATAAGATAAGAAAGAAGAAAAGAAAAAGGAAAAAAAGAAAGAAAGAAGTCAGGTATGTTACTACATTAAAATTGTTGAAAGAAAGAACACAAGAAACACAAAATATAAATATAATAGAATGGAACCCATTGTCACCAGAGATGTCATTTAGTACACACCATGTCCACAGTGGTTTCAGTTTATTAATTCTAATGAGAGAAATGGCTCCACAAGAGCTTAGTCAAAGTCAATTACTAGTCCTACCTATTTCAACCTTTATAGCCTTTTCCTTGATAAAAAATACATGGATATTGAGGTCATGCAGGCCTCTTAATTAACTCTGGTGGATGAGCACTTGTAGGGGCATCTATGTGTAACCCAAATCAGAAGACAAAACTATAATGCACATTACTTGTTCCCCTGTGACAATGGGTTAAGATTCTTTGAAACTTCTTTACACTAAAAATAACCAAATATGACATTAAAGTAAACTACAAATGTTGATGAAGTATCAGTCCACCACTGTAAAAATAATTACATAAGAGATAGAACAAGCAACTACAAATTATAAAAAATGAAGGCAGGTTATGTATTTTTCCTTATAGAACCTTCATTTAGAGTATCATAACAAAACCTATTGATATATCCTTGTGAAATGTAAAGACTATTTCCATATTAAACAAAAACACAAGAAGAAGAACCTGAAAATAAGAAAAAAAAAAAAATTAAACACTATGCTTTACACATTTTCACAAGCAATCAAAATACCAAATATGCACTGAAGTATGCAAAACATCAATAAATAAAAACAGGTAAAAAAAAAAAGAAAACATATGCTTTACACATTTTCACAAGCAATCAAAATACCAAATATGCACTGAAGTATGCGAAACATCAATAAATAAAAACAGCTAAAAAAAAAAAAAAAAAAAAAAAAAAAAAAAAAAAAAAAAAAAAAAAAAAAAAAATTAAACACTATGCTTTACACATTTTCACAAGCAATCAAAATACGCACTGAAGTATGCGAAACATCAATAAATAAAAACAGCTAAAAAAAAAAATAAACACTATGCTTTACACATTTTCACAAGCAATCAAAATACCAAATATGCACTGAAGTATGCGAAACATCAATAAATAAAAACAGCTAAAAAAAAAAATAAACACTATGCTTTACACATTTTCACAAGCAATCAAAATACCAAATATGCACTGAAGTATGCGAAACATCAATAAATAAAAACAGCTAAAAAAAAAAATAAACACTATGCTTTACACATTTTCACAAGCAATCAAAATACCAAATATGCACTGAAGTATGCGAAACATCAATAAATAAAAACAGCTAAAAAAAAAAATAAACACTATGCTTTACACATTTTCACAAGCAATCAAAATACCAAATATGCACTGAAGTATGCGAAACATCAATAAATAAAAACAGCTAAAAAAAAAAATAAACACTATGCTTTACACATTTTCACAAGCAATCAAAATACCAAATATGCACTGAAGTATGCAAAACATCAATAAATAAAAACAGCTAAAAAAAAAAATAAACACTATGCTTTACACATTTTCACAAGCAATCAAAATACCAAATATGCACTGAAGTATGCAAAACATCAATAAATAAAAACAGCTAAAAAAAAAAATAAACACTATGCTTTACACATTTTCACAAGCAATCAAAATACCAAATATGCACTGAAGTATGCGAAACATCAATAAATAAAAACAGCTAAAAAAAAAAATAAACACTATGCTTTACACATTTTCACAAGCAATCAAAATACCAAATATGCACTGAAGTATGCGAAACATCAATAAATAAAAACAGCTAAAAAAAAAAATAAACACTATGCTTTACACATTTTCACAAGCAATCAAAATACCAAATATGCACTGAAGTATGCAAAACATCAATAAATAAAAACAGCTAAAAAAAAAAATAAACACTATGCTTTACACATTTTCACAAGCAATCAAAATACCAAATATGCACTGAAGTATGCGAAACATCAATAAATAAAAACAGCTAAAAAAAAAAATAAACACTATGCTTTACACATTTTCACAAGCAATCAAAATACCAAATATGCACTGAAGTATGCGAAACATCAATAAATAAAAACAGCTAAAAAAAAAAATAAACACTATGCTTTACACATTTTCACAAGCAATCAAAATACCAAATATGCACTGAAGTATGCGAAACATCAATAAATAAAAACAGCTAAAAAAAAAAATAAACACTATGCTTTACACATTTTCACAAGCAATCAAAATACCAAATATGCACTGAAGTATGCGAAACATCAATAAATAAAAACAGCTAAAAAAAAAAATAAACACTATGCTTTACACATTTTCACAAGCAATCAAAATACCAAATATGCACTGAAGTATGCGAAACATCAATAAATAAAAACAGCTAAAAAAAAAAATAAACACTATGCTTTACACATTTTCACAAGCAATCAAAATACCAAATATGCACTGAAGTATGCGAAACATCAATAAATAAAAACAGCTAAAAAAAAAAATAAACACTATGCTTTACACATTTTCACAAGCAATCAAAATACCAAATATGCACTGAAGTATGCGAAACATCAATAAATAAATACAGCTAATAAGATAATAGTAATCAAGCCAAATATGTACAAGAAAGGTTGGGATTACTGGCCGAATGGAAAAGGTCCAGATAACACTATTTCATTTTAAATCACCACCACCACCCTGCCAAAAATTAAATCATTCCCATCAACCCATCAAGGCCATATTCACTTTAATTGGAGGAAAAAAAGCATAGTAATTTCCATGTTCATTTTTTAGCATGTGACAGTTCTAGTAGTTTTTATGACAATTATATTAAAATCCAAGAGTATCGTTCACACACTGCATATCTATTAATCTAAACTAAGGACAATGGGAGCCTTCAGTGCCACTCTGAACAATGTGTCAAGGCTCATGCAGAATCAATTGCTTGAGGGAAAACCCAGAAGTACTGTAAACACAAGATCACCCTGCTCTCTATACTCTTAATTGTGCCACAAACTATTTTGATGATGGTAAAATGAAGCTTTAAGCCTACTTTCAAGGGTCTATTTCTCCTAAACAAACACAGCCAGGCCCAAACAATCTCAACTGTTTAGTGTTTACAATTTTGAGTAGGCTGGACTGTGCATGACACGAAGATATCATCCTGGTGTGGGGGTGGTTTACCATGAGGTGACGATGTCACAGAATGTCATCAAGATGATTGGTTTAAAAAATGAAGATGAGCAGTGTAACTGTATGCATGAGCATGTGTGTAATCTCCCTCTCCCCCTAAAACTACAGACCTGAATATAAAGAAAAAAATACAAATTTTACACTCTGCAACAGCTATTATGGCCTTAAAATTGAGACTGCCCTGAAGCCTATAACTTGACAGCCTTATTTGCAAAGGGTTGCTCTCAACATGTTTTAAACAGGACAGCAAAGCAGAACATGTTGCTCACCTTGCTGACCGCCACTATAGCCAACCTGAACACCTGCAGGGTATATCACAGTATATACTTAATTAATATTCCTTTAATCTGTCCAATGCCCTTCTCTTATGAGACTGATTTTCTTAACTCAGAATCTGAGAGTTTTCCTCTTAGAATTACTCTAACAGGCTTGAAATGTGTCAAGATGTTATTGTATGGGAAGCAAATTCCTGGCAAACTCTCCCTATTTGCATTCCAATTCCCCTTATCTGATGAAACCATGGGACAATGAATAGCCCTGAATTGTAAATGCTGACTCGACTGTCCAGGTAATTCCAGGAAATTGCAAATAAACAAGATGGAACAGGTACTCCAGGCTCACCTTGACCTCCAAAACCTCCCTGAAAGCCTGCACGACAGACATAACATTGAGTTAAAATTATGAGGTATTAGAAGGGAAGGTAAGTGGTTTTAAGAGAAATATTACTAAGAGTTAAAATGGAGTTTCTATTGCAAGCATAAAAATTTCAACAGTTACAAGCACACACACAAAAATTATATCAGATTTATAATGCCAAAGACCAAATGCATAACACTTAAGATATTTCTTATTAGCTCTGCAGAAAAAGAGTTAATTCACTATTAATCTTACAATGTCAATACCTGACAGTGAACCCTCTTGTATCAAACTAGGTAACAAAGGTTCAAAATGGATTGAACAAAGGGTTTAACACTGTTCCTTGCTTTCTTCCTAGTTTCAGAAGTGAAAAAAAGAAGAAGAAAAAAAAAAAAGGGGTTTCACATCACACTGAAATGGAAGGCTCACCTTGTTGGCCACCACCACCATAGCCACCTTGACCACCTGCAAGATACATTACAACACATTCTGAGTAG